AAAAGTAACGAGTTTTGTACCAGCGTAACTATCTGATCTGGCTCAGGGTCAGACAAGCGCTGCCACCACCACGATGGACAAGCTGGGAGAGCTAAGGGGGACGGTGGCAGCCCCAACCAGGGACACGGCCATGCCTGGGTTTTTAAAATGCTGCCGAGCAGCTGCTGGGCTTCATGGGAAGGTGGTTAAAATCAGATATTCACAATGTTAAATAAAGGCAAAATGTTTTAACTATGTGATGGGCTGGTAGTTTTCTCATGCAAAGACATTTTAAACTCGCTTTTACAATTTGGAAATTATGTAAAATTTTAAGACTGAAGCTTCTCTCCTGTTCTTTGAAAACTCATTTATCTGTGATGAGAATAACAACGTGACTCTGTCGTTGTCTACTTGTGCTAACCAGTGAACATACTTCCAAAGGAAACTGTAAACCAGAAACGTTTTAATTTCATACTGGGGAAAAGAACCGCTTAAATACACTCTCATGTCATTTGCCTAAATCTTGTTTGGACAGCTTGCATGGCTCACAATCTTGCTGTTATCAGTCCCTCCTCTGAATCAGAGCGAGAGCAGGAAGATAAATATAATACTGTAATATACGGCTCGATACTGAAGAAGATCACTGTGCTGTGACATGCCTCGCGCTTCAGCTCTAACACAGCGATACGGTTATCTACGGGTTGAGGAGACTGAACAGCCTGTAATATATTAACACACTTTCATTTCAGAGATAGTGTCAGGAGCTGAAAAACAACTCCAATTCACCATGCCACTTTGGTTATTTCCCCTCCAATATCAGGTGTTTTCTCCCCTCTGATCCCCACACCAGATCTGTGGGAGCAGAGATACACTTGCCCTGCGTGGGCAGAGCAACGTGGACAGGAACCACGCACTGGGGTTAAGCTCTAGTGAGAAAAGCCCAAAAGGGCACCACTTCTGCAGCTTCAAATATTAACATCATCAAAGACAACTTGCAGCAACTCCTATTTTTAAGTTTCTCAAAGGAGCTTTGAGATAATTTTTAGAAGCCCACTGCCTTTAAGACATTTGACATCCAGAAAGCAGAACAGTCTCCAGCTGCAGAAGCACTTTTTCTTTCCTCCACGCCTACATTTAAAATGTCACTGGCACAGTGAGGACAGGGAGAGATGCAGAGCTTGGGGTTTCATTCAAGTTTTCTTTTTTAACTGACCCAGCGACCAGTCTGGCGCCTGGCTACAGCTTCACCTTCCCCTGAAACCAGTCACGCTTTCGCTTGTGTGGCCCACTGCGGAATTGGCAAAAGCTACTTCTGCAAAACCACTTTTGCCAGAACACCTTTCTGTGTTTGCATTAGAGAGGCAAAAATGTAGATAAAGCTTTTGCCAACGATATCTTGGTCTATTGGAACAGACGTTACGAAGTGATAAAATAAACTACCATTTCCTCAGTGGTTTAGCTCTCCAGCGCATGAGCCGAATTTGATCGTCACGAAGGAACTCAATGGTAGATGGATAAGCGCGAGGAGAAAAGCAGCGATGCCCGTTTCAGCTCCCCTACATGCCACAGGATGTGCAGAACTATAAAAAAGCAGGGGAAAGGAGAAGTGGAAAAGACATTTCTACAAGGATTGAAAGGACTCCTGGAAAGAAGAGGGGCAATTAACACACATGAAAAAGCTCCTCAGTTAGGATGACATTACTAACTTCTTTTTTTTGTCTTTGGTCACTAGAAGTATCTTTACAGGGAGCATTAAAAAAAGGAAAGACCTGGAAAGATTAAAACCCACATGTGGCTGTTCCCTCCCGCTTAGCACGCTTGTTAATCCCACAGGGACTGCTGAAGGGAAAAGACAAATACAAGAAAGAAAAGGTGATGGGGAGCACACACACATTACAAACTGGTTCTTGACATTTCTCTTAGTTACAGGAAAGTTTTACGATGGTGGTGACTAATATAACTCCCTAATCCTTGACCGGCTTCAGAAACCCTTGCCATAACGTCAAGGTCAGGACAAGGTTAGTGCCTTAATAAAAGAGGGAATATGGCATCCCTAATGATTGCTTCTGGCTGTTTTTCTCCTTACCTATAATAACACCACAGTGATTGTTTGCTTTCTTAAAGTGATGCAGAGCTCTTTGCTTTACCTGCTGACGGACCCTCGCTGCTCACCCTGGGCCACAGCCAGGGACCTGATGGTGGACCTGCAGGGTGGACATTTCATGTGGAAGACCACAAATTCAGGGCTGTCTTCACAGGGAAGTTGGAAGAAGGTTGAAGAATCCTGTTAGCATGCAATTGCATAGTACCTTAGATAACCTACCATTTATTTTAATGTTACCCACCTGAGGGAGGCTCTGCTAATGAATCTATTTTTGTAGTACCATAAAGGTTGAAGTTTAGAGCTAAGTTTAGAGCAGAGACATATAAAAAATGTCAAACCAGGAAATAGCTTAATGAAAGCAGAGAGTAATCACAGCAAATTACAGTGAAATTTCTATGGGATTACATTTTGCATTCCCCAAACAAGCAGAGGAATTAATCTCATTTAGCGTCATTCCATTTTGCTGAGAATTCACTGTAAGGATATGCTATGTAAGTAACAGAGTGCAATGCCATAAAAGCTGTCTTAAAAGTTACAGTCTAAGTTGCTTTTCAAAACAGAGTTCAGATTTCTTCCCACTGCAGTCCATGGAAAAATGGCAAGATATGCCACAAAATATCATGGAGAAAAAATCTAAGGGTAATATTAGGAGGACTAGAAGGAATATGTTTTATTTGCCTCGTACTACTAATAAGACCCCTTTCTAAATTCCAACGTTTAGGAACAAACCAGCAGTGGATGTGGTAGGGAAGTTCACCCCAGGAGAAGAAAGCTGGTATTCCTGGTGTGCTTCCAAAAATCACTGCAGAATTTAATCTCTCCTCACTGGCAAACCCAGGTTTTGCTCAAGGAGCATCTAGGAAATACCCTGTGGTCAGCACCTCACCTAGCTGCCTTGAATACCTCCTCTGAAACAGTATATATACAGTTTGCATATATACAGTATATATACCTTCTTCTCTCACCCTGCAGGTTATCGTTCTTTCACCCAGGCTTTACAGCCCACAGTCCAGTAATAAAATAAAAGCAATTTCACATTGCTTTTTACCATACGTGGTGATTTTCTCTACTATTCAACAGGTCTCCAACATGAGAAGAAGCTGGGAACTTCTGACCTCACTCCATAACTATTGCACAGCTCTGGATGGTTAGTTTAGTGAAAAAAAAAAAAAACATGTTGACTTTTGGGTAGCAATGTCACTGCAAATCTCTCAAGGCTAATTCTTGATGACAGCCACTGTAAATACACTGGAACGTGCACAGAGCTGCAGCCTGGCCCTATTAAAGGCAACAAAAAATCAGCAGGATCTTGAACCAGTCCATAATGAGTAGCATGAAATAACATCTCAGTCCGTAAGGCAAAAAAAAGAGGAGAAAGAAGCCTATGAATGGGATATTGTGTAGCAACTGTAAGGAAAGGAAATTCATAAACCAGAATCGTGCCATGTGTCCGCTTAAAACGACCTGTGAGTGTTTTACATGTAAGCTGTATACGATCTGCTACAGAGCAGTCACCCTTTCAGAGGACAGTACTTTACAATAGAAAAAGCCTCTTATATTCAGCTTTTTATAAGTTTATAGAAACAGATACAGAAGGGAAAACAAGACTAAAGACCCCACGGTTGTACAGTTTAATACTGTTAAGATTTTCTTACCAACGCTTTGGTGTTTTAACCCCAAATTATCCCCCCCCCCCCCCCAAATTTTTACATTTTCTACAGCACTAAGACACAGAGTTGTGATGTCCTTCCCAGGATGCTGAGGGAGGGACAGGAAAACATACAAAATCTGCCTGAAAGGTTTTGCAATCTTTGCCTCACTACAAATGGTGTGGACTGACCCACGTTTTGCGAAGAATTAATGGTGTGCCTTCTTAGAACATGCTAGATAGAAATACAGCACCTGTACCTGTGGCTTCCATATTTTCATCTACAAAATCCCAGACACAGCTAAAATTTACAGTATTTTTTTCAGGGCAATCGTAGTCAGCTTTCCACACCTGTGCTGGATGCATAGATTGAAAGGGCAGTGTATGCATAGTGGCCATTTTTCCATGCAACCCAGCTGGAGAGGCAAAGATGCTCTGAATGGCCACCCAGGCACTATCTGGATGGGAGGTATTTCTAGGCACAATCCTAATGCTTTTACTGTAGCAAATCCACACTTACAGTTGGTACAGTGCCTAAAACAAATTCTGAGACTACTGAATTAAAACCAGATCATCCATACTGATACCATGCCTATGCATTCGTGGGTTGGCTTTCCACAGGTCAATAGATCCCTAACTACTTTCGAACTGAACACCAGCTTTCCCCCATGGTGCAAAATACCTTGAGATTCAACCTGTGGAAGACATGGGGTAAGAGCTGCAATTGCAAGCTTAGCCTTCTACAAAGATCGGCTCAAACACTGGGTTACAATTAGAGAAGAAGCTCCCAGGTGCAGCACGGACACCACCTCGTGCTCCAGTCCGTGCCCAGCTCCTGTGGCCAGGCACAGTGGAGGGGCGGACCAAGGACAAGTAACTGGTTACTTCCCAGGCTGGGATTGGGAAGGGCACGTATCATATACATAAACAGGAGACATAACAGCAGGGGAGCTCAAGGCTGGTGTCGGTTTTTGTGACTCGTGTCCCATGCCTGAACTTGACAGATGATGAGACTTTTCATTTCCCAGGAAAGTCTTTGCTAATTCTCATACAGAAGCAAAGACTCGGGGGATCTTCCAATTTTTGTTTTGTTTTGTTTCTTAAAGCACAAAAATTGGCACGTTAAGGAAAGAAATGTCTTCATGGTAAGCTAAATCAAACCCCAGAACCTCATTTAGCCTCTCCACTTCCAGAGAAGGCTGAATTCAGGAGCAAAGAGCAATTGAGAAAGAGAGCACTTAGAAATGAAAATAAGAATGTTTTCATTACCTTTTCTGCAAGCCAGCCTAGATGCCTAATCTCTCGACTTCCAGCAATCCCTGTTTTACCCAGCTGGTCTCTGACCTCTGCAATCACCCTGGGGATGAGCTCATTGACACTGGAGTGGATGGCATTGAACCAGGCCTGGGCTGTAGCCGAATCCTTACTCCTGAGCACCACGGTGTGCTTGGCATCAGGTGAATGAACTTCAATAAGTCTAGAAAAATGGGGGGGGAAAAACATTATGTTCACTCAGATACCATTAGGCAACTAAATTTATTACCTTGCTTAGTGTTAGCTATGAGTTAAAAAGAAAGACACTAATATCACGACCTAGCACTAAGAACTTACCTTTACAACACCTGAATACAGTAGGATCATCTTAACTGAAGCCAGGTCTGTACTGACTTTGTGCTAAAATCCTTCAGAAAGGGATGTGACAATGCTGATGCAACCCCACATCTAGCACATCAATAGGAGTTTCAAATATAAAGGCAAGAGGAGCATTCACCCACTAACATTCACTGACACGGCAACCCCCCAGAACTGCATGGGAGATGACTGCGGAGAAGCCGGGGATAAGCTGCCGCCTTCTTTAGGTGGATATCACAGCACGCCCGGAGTTTCTCAATGTGCTTATGTTACACATAGAGAGCTAAACGAAAACCACCCTCATCCCAAATAGAGGAGTTTTCTTAGGATTGTGCTGTGGTTTCAGTGACACCACTAAGCATCAACCAGAAGCCCACCGCAATGGGCCTGCTGCAGGCGTTACCAACATCCTCAGTGCTCCACTTAGATCCTGCTAACAGCAGCAGCAAGGAATTGCTAACCGCAACCGTGTGATCGCTGCTGGCAGGCATCTTCTGCAGTTTTCCAAACTCCTGTGGATAGAGACTTTTTTTTTTCCCCAAAGCACATGCTTACTAGACCAGCCTGCGGGCTTCCACCCCACCACTGTGGTTTGCAAAGCAGAGATGAACACAGCTTTCAGGGAAATGAATCCTGCCCATCGTGGTTATAGGACCTGTGCCAACACCTTTGCTAACAACAACAACAAAAATGCTTTGAGAGGCCGCTGCAGCTATTTCAGCTCTGTTCTCAGTGAAGTTATTAGTTATTAGTGGGGCTTTGTGGGCTCTTTACAGCTTTGTGGGCCACTTTTACTTGAACATTTGTTAAATAACCCACTAAGCAATAGTCTGGTTTATCTTTATGTAGTGATTATAAACCCAAGCCCTGGTCATTGCCCATCACTCAACTCTGTATCACAGTTGTGCTTTTTCATTATACACATACAGTGACTGCTCCTGAACGTCACCCACACAAATTCGACCTGCGATCTGAGCCTAAGCACGTACTTCTGTGTACTTCTGTCCTGTGTATTGTTGCCTGATCTCTGGGACACACAACGACTCCCTTCTGTAGCAGAAAAGTAATTAGTTCAGTGGAATTTATTCAGGTTGAAGTTCAAGACAGTACTGTAATACAAATATTTGTTATGCAATTACAAAATCTTGTAATTGGGAGCTTAACTAACAATTAAGAGATTTTAATTAATTGGTTAAACCAGAGCAGAATCCAGAACAGAGGGTGACCTGATCTGCGCAGCTCTCCGGGGCTGGGAGAGCGCGGACCGCTGGCCTCATGTTTGTCCATTTTGGGAAGGGGAGGTCTCCACGTAGACACTGCTCTAAAGATAGAAAAGGTCATGATTTTCCAAACTCAGCAGCTGAACTGTTCAGGGTCCTAAATCACTGTTTGGATAGCTTAAAAAGTGGGTTGATTTTTCAGAAAGCGCTGAGCCAACACAATAACGCATGTTTCCTCAGTAAAGCTGCTGGAGCTCAGCACTGTCTGAAAATAAAGGCTCTTATTTAGCTGCTCCAGGATGTACCGAGGGCTCGACTTCAGGTACCAAAAGGAAAATTCCATGTCAGATGATGCAGGTCTGGTGAATAAGAAAACTGTTTGTAGATAGGCACATTCCCAATCACACTCTCATTTTTTCTGAACTGCCAGAAAAAGCCGTCTCCCTGACAGTTATGATTTAGCCATTTCTGTCCAATGATCATTACAGTCATGCACAGCTACTGCACCCCGGTCTGTCTTTCCAGAAGAAATACTGCTCTCCCACCGCTGTAGGAACTTGAGTTTCAACTTGTTCTTGTAGGCAGCTATCAAAGGAAACAAACTATACAGGCTTAGATTTTCAAAGTACACTGTGGTAGTCAGTGAAACATTACTTACTACTTACAGAGCACTTTTTGGCAGAAGATCTCACGGCATTTTACAATTGAGGTCAGCGACAGCATCCCTGTTTCACCACCCAAAAAATGGAAAGCTGCATAACCCAGAGGAGTCAGGGAACAATCCAGGAGCAGCACGCAGTATTTTCTGCACTCTAGCTCCCATTTTAATAATCTTTTTAAGAGAAAAAAGTATTTGGACAGCACAGCAGTATTGTGCTGGTTTTGAAATACGTTAATGCACTGTATGGATTGTGTGAAACAATGCTCTTCACAAAGCCTGTGGTTTCTATAAGGGAACTCCCACCTCCAAAGTCACTGTGTATCGTGCGGTAAACAAAGTGCTGAACAAGGACTAGAAAGACACAGAAGAATGTGCCGCTTTTTCAGTTGCAAAGGAACAGCAGCAAAGTCGTGTCATTTCTTTTTAAGTTGGAGTTGTTGCAGGCTTTGGTTTAAAAATAAATTATCTAGAACTGAATGGCAGCTCACTTCCCTCCAATTTAGAACAGACTGAAGTTCTTACTTAGAGCAAGTGGATTAACATACAAACAAGTATTTTGCTACTTGGGCCTTCATCAAAGTGTATTTCCCTTGATGGTGGCTATTTAAGTATTTCTACAAGAGTTCTGTCCCCTAAAATAATGAACGTTTTTAGTTAGCTCTTAACCATTCTGTTTAAGGGGTTCTAACTATATATTCTAATATATACAATTCTACTGTGATATCAATGTATATATTCTCATATACATATGCACACACATAAACTGAGCCATGCTTGCAAAAATACTCTTAAAATATCATCCCTTGGTGACTTCTAATGGGTCTATTTTGGGGACTGCTTGTCAGTCGTCGTTAGATGGTGATGCACTAACAACTGCAGAAAGTCTACTTTGTTCCCTCTGCTGAGTGACAGGAAGATTGGACAATACTGCTACACTTCTCAAAAGTGAGTTCAAAATGGGAATAAATGCTGCATTGACAGGTCTGAAACTAAATCCTTTTATCCACCGCGCTGGTCCAGCCCAAGGAATACATCTGCAAGCATCATTCCTGTGCAAGCTGCTAGGTAGGGCACCATTTTATTCATACCATAACGACAAAAGTCTAAATCTTCAACTGCCTGAACTCTGCTACTGTCTATTTTCTACAAGACCTGGGCACTAAACTATCTTTAAGAAACCAGGCTTACAGATTTCTGCTCAAGATCCAGGACTCCTATCTCTGCATTCAGTTGGGATGGAGATACTCACAGAAATTTAGAATCTTGCTGGAAACCCATGGGCTCTGAACGCAATCAGATGTGGAAAGCCCTGTGTCCCTACAAACTCTTCCCTTTTCTGCCTTTCAGCCTATGCTGCGTTGATTCACCAGTCCATTTGGATGATGCTTTTTGTATAACAGCTGACTGATGGCATTTCCATATTTTCTGAAAGGCAAAAAAATACCAGTGACCTTAGTAAACTTCAACACTAAAGCACTTAAATGTTTCCAGCAGTCCAGCCATTGTAGCTTTGATTTGTTCCTTGGCTAAACTGACCACCGCTCACTGACTTCTGTTTATCTGCAGTTCAGTGATAAAGTTCCCTTAATTCCCCACTGAATTGAAATATTTAGGGCAATGCCACAGCTGTGTTTATTCTCACACTCCACCACAGTTATGTAAATACTGCATATGGAGCTGTTTCTGATAAAGCCCATACCAACCCAAAGGAATTATATGTTAGCTCTAGATGGCTGCCAAGATGCGCGGCATCTCTCCAGCTTGGCAATGCATATGAATGATATCACATTTTCTCAGAGATCATTTGGCAAACCTTATAATAAGAGAGTAATTTTCTCTCTCCTTCTCAAAGAGTCCCCCTGAGCCAAGGAGTATTTCCAGCATCCCCTTCTCCACCTGCAGAACACCGGGGTGACACGAAACCTCAAATCAGGACACCTCCAAATGCCGTAACATTGCACGTGAGAGGCCAAAACTCCCTCCCTCACTGCATCACCCAGAGCTTTTACTTTACAAAGGATCAGAAGAAGTTGAAATCAAATATTTGATAGACCATACTCATTCCACATTTGATAAGACCTCTTTCTGTAGGAGTGTTCATTATCTAAGAAATAGCTTTTATCAAATCTCTTGAAAGCACTTCTCCCACCAGCACTGGCTCAGGACCAAATCAGGCACTGATTTACACTTTGTGCCTTTTCTTGGGTCAGATTATGCATTCAGTGACTGATTAAAGTGTAGAGTAAATCCCTTGAAGTTAATGATAAGCTGGAGCCAGAGTTATTTGAGTCCATCACGCTACTTTGATTTTGTACCAGCATAGCCAGGAACAAAACACTCTGCCACTGACTCCAAACTTAAAAAGGGGGCGAGGGCCAAGCTGCCCACTTCATCTCCTCCATCATTATCTGCACATGAAACTGTGGTAAGTAATTGTGTTGATTTCTGAACGATAAAACACAGGAGCCTTTCAAGCATGTAGGGGGGGATTTAGAGGAACACAATCAGAGATTATATTTAAATAGTTGTAGGTTTTGTTATAAGTAAAAAGCCCTGTTAAGGTTCTTTTTCAATTCTACATGCAGGATCAGGAGATGAACACAAACAAAATACATGAAAATGAAGCAATGGAAACTAGGAGTTTAGTCTGCAAGGAAAATATTCCATAGAGAGACTGTTAGGTTTGCAACGAATTCCCCAGCATACACTGAAGAAGCATCTTCACTTGATGCACCTAAATGGAGGTGAAAGCAATTTTACCAAGTGAGTGCTATTTGGTAATCAAGAGGAATTTTTCTATGTGAAAGTCTCTCAGACCCCTCGCTGTCACAAGGGTACCTGCTATATTAACAATTACTCACTTGACTTTCAACTTACAGTGGTAAAAACGATGTAGTTACTTGTTTCTTGGGAGCTGGACTAGACTGATGTCCAAATAGAGGGTGTACATATCACTAACGAGCT